CCCCATGAAGTGTGTCCGTTTTTTTTTTTTTTTAAATGACTACCTGGTAAGCCCTAGCAGTAGTCCAGGTTCTTGGAGTCTTTTTTTTTTTTTTTTTGCTTTGGTTCCCCCCCTTTTTTTTTTCCTTCAACAAAATTTTTTCCCAGTGGTTTTTTTTTTGGGTGGGGGGGTGTTCGGTATTTTTGTTTCAGCCATCTGGCAACCCTACCTGTCTCCATTGAATCCCCCCATGTGTATATGTAGAATGCCGAAATGCACTCCCTGGAATTAAAACCACTGTCAGTTTCCAGCACAATATAGTGCTGGGTAGGTAGATCCAGGTGCAGTGTTTTCCTTAGCTAAACACCAAGAAAATATTGTCAGGACAGTTCTCAAAACTATTAGTCCTTGGTAGGTTGGGAGGGAATCTTTTGTTTTTCTCCAATAAAAGAGCTGCCTTAATTATTTCAATCTGCCATTCACATGTATGTGTTAAACTGTTGTATTGTAATGTTAAGGCTGTGAAATACGGAAGATTTATTGAAAGGAGATTTTAATTTTTCTAATCCTTCTAATTTTATTTACTTTATTCACTATATATACTACCACCCACTATTATGTCCATTTTTAGAATATTTATTTCTCTCAAGTGCAGTCAGTACAGCCTTGGTTATCAAAAATTCATCATGATCTTAAACATTTAATAATTACATGGAGAATTCCCTTTATTAGCCAAAACTTTGATTATCCAAAATTACTCTGTGTTCTCCTTGTAATTTGTCTTTGTAATTACCAGTCCTTCTCTCCTAGCCCTTTGGGTTTCTTGACCTCAGAAATAGCCTAAACATTATAAATGGGAAACTTTAAAATAACACTTAATATGAGAGAGTCCAGCATAGACAAACCTCATAAGAGCATCAAGAAACCATCAAGAAACTCTTGCTGCTTATTTTTGGATTTCACACAAGAGTATGGTGATGTTTTGGTGCCCTCTGCTGCTTTGCAGAAATATTTTTTTGTTTTAGTTTCTATCCTCTTTTGATCTTGACTTCACATATACTTTGCTACCTACTTTCCTAGAGAACTGTGTCCTATTAAGAGGAATTAATATCTTTTAAACAAGTAGACATCTTCCATTCCTTAGAAAGCTTCAGAGTTTGACGTGTATGCGTCCTACTTTCAGTTTCCTTATGTTTGTACCTCAGAAGGAAATCTTGCTAATATTTTTGTCTCTTTGAGGCTGCTGTAGTGGGAGTTTTGGTTTTCTTGTGATGGTCTCTGGAGCTTTGAATCAGCAAGGCACTTGCATAGCTCTGACATAAAGCATATGAAAAAAAATTAGGCTCATGCTTAAGTTCAGAAGTGAAGGAAACTCTAAAAGTAGGGGGGCAACTGGCAATCAAACTGTGGTCCTGCCTCTTCCTGACATGCTCCCTCATTGCCTTCCCCCATTGCTCATCTTTATGGCTGGTAAAAAGTGAGAGGGCATATCCCACTTTAGCACGTGATGGGGCCATGGTACCTAACACTCCTTTTCCAGCACTCCTACTTAAGTACCTTTATTTCATTGGGTTCTAGCTGACTGTGAAAACATTGTGTGGTCAGCCTCTCATTCATAGTGACTTTATTTTTTTGTAATGCAGACTCTGTGAATTACTCCCTCTCATTTAACAGGGGCGGTGTTTGTTTGCCAGTGGTAGTCCCTTTGAGCATGTGGTTTTGAAAGATGGACGATCCTTCAGACCAGGCCAGGGAAACAATGCCTATATTTTTCCAGGTAGTATAAAGAATTCTGTCATTTCACTTTAAGATTGGATTATTTCTAAATTGTTACTAATATTGCAGCATTGCCTAAAGACCCCATTCAGGACTGAGGCTATGTTATACAGGCACACACAGTTAGACCTTCCCAGCCCTGAAGAGTGTAGTTTAATTTAAGACAAAACTTACTAAGCAAATAATAATAAATAAATGGAGGCTGGTAAGGATACGTGATCTGATAAGCATGAGTGATCATAATATGTGATTACCTGGGCTGTCTCTGTGCACAATTAGCAGGTTTCAATTTCATTACATTTTATACATATAAATTACCAAGTCATATTATTGAAGATATTGCTTCCTTATGGCCACTTGCCTAAGTACTTGTTTCTTGGAAGCAGGTTTGTTTGTCTAATGACTTTTGTACAGATAACGGTATAAAAGAGGCATCATGGGATAATTTTTTAAAAAAGAAAACCTGTATTCCCCCCCCGCCCTCCAAATTTTTTTTGAACATTCTGGTATGTTACTAGGACATCAGTAGTTAGTATTAAGAACTTGTGTTTTAACATTCAGTTAAAGTCAATGTGTGAACCAAGAGTTTAGCTCACTCACCAAAAAAAAAAAATTTTTTTTTTAAATTAAAAAGCCAAATCCAGTGCAACACTTGATACCACTGTCTGTCTATTAATGTAGCAAAATTAGTACTTCTGTCTCTCCTTTGTTATGAATCTGCTGGCATTTCACATAGGAAGTTAAAAATCATTCATAAATCTGCAACCCTTTTTTATCTTTTTTGCATTTCTTGCACCCTTTCAATAACAGGGCTGCATATTAAAATGATTTTATCATAATAATAATAATAATAATAATTGTATTCTAGGTGTGGCTCTGGCTGTCATCCTCAGTGGTGTTCGGCATATTAGTGATAACGTCTTCCTTGAGGCTGCAAAGGTATGTGTTCAAACATAGATGATGCTTTTGCAAGGCGAAATCAGTCCCTTTGACATGATTTTTCAATGGAAAACAGGTTTGGATTATCAATATTTTTGTGGGTAATGTCTACTTATGACCAAAGATTTATACTTTTGTCCAAAAACAGAGTTCCTGAAATATGAAATATTTCAACTTGTAAATGCAGCTGCAAGTGGCTTATGGAAATTGTAGTTTGGTTACCTTGTGGTTCATTCTTCTCAATGCACTGTACTCTGACGCACCATAGCCAGGGATCCTGATAACGCATATTTACCCTTCCTCATGAGGGAAGACCTTGGTGCATCCTGGGAGCTTACTGAGGGATCTTGACCTATGGAGCATAATGGGCACATGAGGAACTGCAGCAGTAAATCAAAATACTGTATTTAACTTTTTTTGGCCAAAATATTTTAGTTCTCAAATTTCCAACAACAAAAATGTTCTACAGAGGTAGGGGAAAGCCCCATTTATTGTCCAAGTCTAGGGCTGATGTTGTTTTCTCTCCCCAGGTGCCCTGTGTAGTCCAACATTTAGCCGAGTTGCTCTGTAACTGGAAAAACGTAAAAAACAACAAATAGTCTTGCAGAACCTTAAAGACTAACAAAACATGTAGATGGTATCATGAGCTTTCCTGGGTACAACCCATTTCTTCAGCTGAATGGGAATTTTGTACTTGATTTGCCAACAAGAGTCTCTGCACTTGGGGGAAAGGGAGAGGGAGGAAATCATCCATGAGATGGTTTGATGGTGTTACTGTCAGAACTTGTAGCCAGAATTTTTAGGGTTACCTGAGCAGAGAGGAGCTACAAGACAGATCAAAGGTAGAAAAAAAATCTTAAACCCGGAAATACAGGATGTGTGATTTTTATTGTGTATGGTTTCTTTTATTGCAAACATAGGGGAAAAGGCGCTCTGTCCAGTCTTGGTAGTAATTTCTGTTTCATTCTTCCATCAGATTCTGCAGCTTCTTTTGTCTCTTTGTTTTTTCACTTGCCCTTCTCCATTTTATATTTACTTATATATGTTGGTGAGATTTTTTGAAGGTCAGTGTAATGAGGGGATCCATCATTTTGTGCCGCCATCGTAAATGGGCCAACTCTGCAGTACAGTGACTTCTTTGAAATTTAATTTTTTACTGTCATTAAAGTAGAGACGTTGGCACTTTAGCAAAGAAACATCTGACATCAGCTTAGATCAGTGGTCCCCAACATGGTGCCCGCGGGTGCCATGGTGCCCGCGGGGGCATTTGTGTATGCCCTCCAAGTGCTCGGGGCTGGCCTGGCCCCGGGCATGTGGCGCACGGTGAGCGCCTGTCCTGGGAGCACCGCGGATTAGCCGCCCGCGCTCTGGGCACATGGCTCAGGGGGGGAGCGCTGGGCCCAGGCATGTGGCGCTTGGGGGGGCACTGCCCCCGGTGCGCAGTGCTTAAGGGGGCTCCAGCCCTGGGCGCACGGCGCTTGGGGGGGGCGTGGCCCTGGGAGGGGGCCCCGACCCCGGGCGCGCGGCTATGGGGGGGGGCCCTGCCCCCCGCCCTGCCCCACCCTCTGGCGCCTGGTGGGCGAACGGCCACGCCCCCTGGCGCCCAGCAACCTTAAATGGTTGGGGACCACTGGCTTAGATGGTAACATAATAATAATAATACAAATAATAATAATTAATAATAAAATGAAGAGGCTTGTTGCTTTGGTCACAGATTGCAGAGAGCATATTACAGTAATTTTTGAGGCTTTGACTGACTTATAGAAAGCACTTTTATATTTATTTTAGGTCAACTGTACCAATCAGAACTCACAAATATATTCCTCTGTTTGCAGCTTAGTGGTGCATTGCCTCCTGCAAGGGGTCAATAAATTGCTAATATATGTTTTGAATACAGGCATTGACAGACCAGTTGACTAATGAGGAACTTGCTCAAGGAAGGCTTTATCCACCCATGTCCAACATAAAAGAAGTCTCTATTTGCATTGCTGTTAAAGTAAGTGGATGTGATTGGCCTGAGCTGAAAGGTTCACTGTGCATTATATACACTTCCTGAGCTCTATAGCATATTTGGGACCAAAAAGAACAGACCAACACTCAGGCTATTGATAAAAGTGCAAAGTACTACACTTAGGAAGAAATAATCAAATGCACAAATATACAAATACAAAATAGGAAATAAGGCCAAGAGTCTCAAGCTCCTTGCCTATGGGCCGTTCCCAGCTGGTGCTGGATTGCACAATTGCTCTGGCTGGGATTGCTCGCGGGCCAGGAGTTTAAGACACCTGGACTAGGCAGCAATATGCTGAAAAGGATCTGGGAGTTATAGAGGATTGCAAATTGACTATGAGCCAACAATGAGATGCTGTTGCAAAAAAAAATGTCATTCTGGAACATAGTAACAGGAGTGTTGTACATGAGACATAAAAGGTAGTTGTCTAACTCTGCTCTGCATTGGTGAGGCCTCAGCTGAAGTTTTATGCCAGTTTTGGGCATTGCACTCGTAAAAAGATGCAAACAAATTAAAGAATCTAGAAGAGCAACAGAATAAGAGGTTTAGAAAAGTTGATCTATGAGGAAAGGTACTAAAAACTGAGAAGGCAAGGAGGGACCTGGTTAGTCCTCAAATATGTAACAGCAGTTGTCCTCCACACCCATCCATGATAGGCCAAAAATAGTTGGCTTAGTGTATGGCAAGTGAGAGTTAGTTTAGGTTGCATATTAGCAAAAGCTTCTAATTATAAGGATAGTTAAGCAATGGAATGGATTATCGTGATTTAGTTGAGGTTGCACTGATTTAATTGGGATGGGGCCTCATTTGAGCAAGGGGTTAGACTAGATGATCTCCGGAGTTCTCTTTCAACCCTAATCTTCTATGATTCAGGGAGAATGTAGAATCTCCATGATTGGAAGCTTTAAAGAACAGGTTAGACAAACACTTGTCAGGGTTGGACCAAGTATACTTAATCTTGCACAGTATGGCGTGATGCACCAGATGACTTCTTGATGTCCTTGCTAGCCCTACAGTTGTATTATTCTGTCACAAGGGAGATTTATGAAATATTAGTTTATTTATATTCTGTTAATGATCACTTGTCAAAACTGTTCCTTTGATTTCTTTGACATTATTTCATTTCTAGCTCCCTTAAAAGGTTCTGGTCCTTATATCTAATGTTCTAAAAGGACTAGAATGTTTCTTCCACTTACCATAGCCCTATAATACCCCATAATGGTTTCTCTTGCTCTTGAAGCCAAAATTTGAACTCATGGCTCTCTTAATTGAGGGCCATCATCCCAGGAACTCATTGACACCAGAAGTCAGAATGAACCCAGCCATACATCCTTTAGGTCACATTGCAAGATTTTCTTTCAGCATGCCTTCACCTAACTTACAAGTTATAGAATGGTCCCATAAATAACTGGCTTTAATCTGAGGCGAAGATAGTTGGTCATTCTCCTAGATGGTGTTGATGTTTTATGTAGGTTGTGGCTTCATGGCTGCCTTAGAAATGTATATAATGATATTTTATCTGAATGTGCAATTTTAAATTTTTTTGAAATTTGACATTATCTACTACTCTTAACCAAACCCTTTTAAATATATCTAATTTACCTAAAGTTCTGTTATGTTTTCCTATTATATTGTCCCAAATGGTATTAATAGGCACAATCTATGCAATGATTTAACTTCTCAGGTTATGGAATTTATGTACGCAAACAACATGGCTTTTCATTACCCTGAACCTGCCGACAAGAGCCAATATATACTATCAAAGGTTTGGAGCTACGAGTATGAATCCTTCTTGCCAGATGTGTATGACTGGCCTGCGTCTTCGACAAAGCCATCTAAAATGCACTGACATACCAAAAGATTGCACTCCTTGTGTGCTGACTTCTACTCTGCAGGGAATCCTTTTCAGACCAATTTATGATCATGACTTTTGCAACTTGTAACTTATTTTCCATCATTTTGTTGTCTCCTATCTACCCCCTTTTGCGTGACAGTTTCCCATAAAAATCTGATAGGAGCCATTGCCAATACAGTTTATCACATGAATAGGATAGCTATCCAAAGTTTAATTTAAATGACCATAATGTTGTAATTTGAATTTGGAGCCCTCATCACACCAAAAACAAAAAAGGCATTTTAGCCATAGACAAATGATAATGAACTATATCTCTTCATCTCATCATTGCTGATTGCCAAGATATTTGATTTTGCTTTTTAATAAATCTTCTATTTTCTTCACTGTCATCACAACCAATGAATTGTGACACCATAGGAAGAATCTGTCAAGGGAATAAGCCAGATGTATCCAAATGGCAGATTCTGTTCAATCTGCAGAACAAAGCTACAGGTGTCCTTGCTTCATTCAGCCTTCTGTTCTGTGGTTGTACTTTTGAAATTCTTGGCTGTAGGGTGTCCAATGTTGTGTGCAATTTAAAATTTGGAATAATATTTGTACTCTACAATTTAATCATTGTATGGAATTCATTAACAGAAAAAACTGAATTAGTTTGAAAAACATGATTCTTGGGAAGACTGCAAATAATCACATCATCGTTTTTTATGTAAGCAAAAGAAGGTAAATTATTGCAGATTATTCTACTTTTTGGGATGCAGTTTATAAATGAAGATCCTTTATAGAGAGCTGCAGAAGCTATGAGTGGTTCAGTTTAGCTGCAGAACTTGGACACTATCTGCCAAAAGATTTTAGTTTGATATGTTTTCTTTTTAAGGTTCTGCTGCTTTAAGCAAACCTCTCAGCATTGTGTTCTTCCAAAAACTTGTATCTTTTGTTTTCACATGAGGAGTTTGTAGAGCCAGGTGGAACATCACTGACCAGAAATGACTCCAAAACAGACCTATTTGGTGCTTTGAACAAAGGTTATTCACCCCCCTTTTTTCTGGTACTGATAAAGCTGGAACAGTGGGTCTTGCACCAGCTGTTGATATGTGCATTTCCAATGGTTTGGCTGCTTGTTTCCTACAGACTTTGCATAGTAGACTTCTATTCACACTGAACAACTGGTAGTCTTGAAAGGTGTGACTTTTCTCAGGTTGTCAGTTGATCCTTTGTTCCTCTTCGTGCCACAAAATGTGAATTTAATTTCATTTCTATCCAGTTATTCCATATAAAGTCAGATGTTGTGGCCAGATCATTGCTAGATTAGCTCTTTTTTCTTCCCTCACAGATTCATTCAAGTTATCCTCCAGTTGCTTTGAAAGCCCTGAATTTGACATGACTATTATTTTTTGGATTCCTTCTCGTTTCTCCCCATATACTCTCTGAGTGAAATCCAGTGCTCCACATTAGTAGACCCAGAATGTGGCTATTGTTGATTGTCTGTGATGTTGTTAAAACCAGAGAAAGGGTAACATAAGATTAGACAAAGGGGACCACGTGCTTTATCGATGTTTTGCTGTGTCTAGAACCAGTGGCAGAAATCAATAACTCTTTTGCCTGAGCTAATAGGCTAGAAGCCAAGATCCAGGTACAAGAGTAAACTTGGTGAGGCAAATGTGTGCACAACAGGATAAGTAATCATTCCCCCTCCCCCTTGAAGAGGATGTAGAGCCCCCTGTCTTTTTTTATTGCTTACTCTGTTATGGTCCTAAAATAAATAGATAGATTGCTTTAGTCTTTTTAAGAGCAAAAGGTGATAGGAAGAAAAGTACAATTTGCAGGGGATTTTAATTAGGTGAAGAGAGACTGCTGAGATATTTGGAAAAAGCAATGATGGGAAAATTACTTGACAATTTACTAAGGCTTTTGATAAAATACAGTGTGTGGTAATGGCTCTAAATTCTACATTGTGTTTTGAGAATTATGAGGTTTGTAATTTATATATGTATAAAAAAGACCAACACTTGTGGTGTTTTTACAAAGAATGCCTTTTCATCTATTTTTGTGATGCTTGGTTTCTAATGTATTTATACGTTAATTTAAACGTGAATCTTATTCTGAGATTGTTATTTATTTAGTACAGAAAATAACTACCAGATATTCTGAAAACCCAAATCTCACCAAAGGAAGAACTGAGAATTAGTTATTTGTATATAAGTGGAATTCCTCATTATGCAACAAATGTTTCCCCATTTCTTCCAGTGAAGATGTGAATATAGCAAATCAAAAAAAAAAGCACTCCATGTGTTGCCCGCATGGCATGTGTTGAAGATGAGTCTTTTGTAACTTGGGACAGCAATGACCTTGGAGACTGTGTGCTCAGCCATTATTATACCTTGTGACTAAATAGGAACATACATGGATCCATTTAGGGCCTTATTTCTCAGACAAGCTGAGCAGCCACAATTCAAAGTCAATGGGAACTATAGGTACCCTGCACTTGTGAAAATCAGGCCATTTAAGACTGATCACAGTAGGTTACAGCCTAAGGCTGTAAGGGTAGCAGCTAATACTGTCAACCAAAACACTGAAAAAAATTGGCAGTGGTTTCCAATAAAGGTGTGTGTACCTCGATTCCTGTTTGCATAAAACATGTTCTATTATTTTCCTGCTGTAGGAGCCAAGAGCATTTGCATTGCTCAAAAGTGACTTGTTTTGGCATTGACCAGCTGTGAATATTTTTGAAACTTCATCTGAAATACAAGATGCCACTGTAAAGGAAAGGAAGAAGCATAGCTCTCCTGCCTGAGTCTAAGTCCCTGTCTGTATTACATCTATAACTGAAACAGAAGACCTATTTAAAATATACAGTAAACTTCCGATAATCCGGCACCTTTAGGACCCAGGGGGTGCCGGATTATCAGATATACCGGACTATTGGAAGGGGGGGGCTATGAGGGATCTGGGGTGAGGTGGGCTGGGGGGGATGCCACCCCAGACCCCTCATAGCCCCCCCCTTCTGATAGTCTGACTCTGCCCCAGGTGTCCCTGATTCAGCCACTGCTGGTCAGTTTCAGCAGCGGCTGAATCAGGGACCCCTGGGGCAGAGCAGTTGGGGTCCTCCTGGGTTGGTCCTGAAGCACCGTCCCTTGGCGCTGCGGGACCAAACTGGCAGCACTCCAGCTGCTCTGCCCCAGGCGTCCCCAAGAGCAGCTGGGGTGCTGCTGGGTTGGTCTTGCAGCGCCGAGGGACAGTGCTACCGGACAAATCCGGCAGCACCCCAGCTGCTCTGCCG